GCACGCTTTGGGCACTTGGTCCAGAAAAGGTTAGCCATCACTGCCCTATACCATTTCAATCCAATCTTTTTTAAAAACCTCCAGTGATGAAGCACCTACAACTTCTGAAGGCAAGCTGTTCCACTGGTTAATTGTTCTTACTGTTAGGAGGTTTCTCATTTATTTATTTGTTTGTTTGTTTGTTTGTTTGTTTATTTATTTATTGGTTTGATTTATATGCCGCCCTTCTCCGGAGACTCAGGGCGGCTTACAATGCGTTAAGCAATAGCCTTCATACTTTTGTATATACCTGCTTAGTAGAGCTTTCGGCCCCCCCATGCGGTGTTCTTTTTTTATACAAAGTCAATTTATTGCCCCCACAATCCGGGTCCTCATTTTACCTACCTTGAAAGGATGGAAGGCTGAGTCAACCTTGAGCCTGGTGAGATTCGAACTTGCAGTAATTGCAGGCAGCTGGTGCTACTTAAAAGCATTTTAGTCTGCTGTGCCACCAAGGCTCTTAGTTCCAGGTTGCTTCTTTCATTGATTAGTTTTCATCCATTGTTTCTGGTTTTGTCTTCTAGTCCTTTGGAAAATAAGTTAACCCCCTTTTCTGTGTGCAGTCCCTCAAAATGGCTTCTTTGCAAGCTCGTGTCTAAAACTGGGAAAAGTTCTAAACAAACTTAAAATAGGTATGTTTTTCTATGTATTGTTCACATGTAAGTTGCTGTTACAGATCATTACCAAAAGTACTTTAATTTTGCCTTACATAATGTTTTGTTTATAGTTTGTTGGTTTTAGAAATCAAATTACAATAATACAATAATTAGAAATCAAATTACAATAATATTAAAATCAACTGTTAATTGTACAGTTAATCACTACATATTTAAATTCTTTCCTTGTCTCCGCAATATTGTGAAGCTCACTGGAATCAGCATGAAAGTCTACAAGGAATCTCAAAGTTAACAGAGGGTGAAGTATATTTTTGATCATAGCAACCCGAAAAAAATAATTTTGCTCACATGGTGGCAGCAGTGAGATGTGGGCACTTTCATAATTAGTTTACTTCACTCCATTTCAGAGTACAACGTACAACTTATACATTGACTCCTGACACATCTTGAAATAGTTATTGCATGTATTGGCTTAACAGAGACAAAAAATTATTTAATTATTTACACTTGCCAGTACTATGTACTAACTTATTATTCTTGGTTTAAACTTAGCACACCTAGGGAACTCTATATGTTTTAAGGAGATTTATTGTGGACCAGAAATCATGTTTCTATTTTATTTTATTTCATCCAATAGAATGAAGGCAATGCCCGCATTTCTTCAGAGTAGGTAATAAGATTTGAAGCCTTTTGAATTTATTCACATATTCCCTGGATGCCCTTGAAAACCTAAAATAACCACTTAACAAGTGAAGCAACAGTTCCAATGCGAGACACATATTTAACCACATGATAAGAATTATCATTTTCTATAGGATGCATCTTTTGCTGGAGATGAAATCTGGCTATAAGACAAAGCAGAGGAATCAAATGAAAAGTTCAATGTGAAGCTTAACCTTCCCTGATGGTGCCTTCCAAAAAGACTCATTGAGTCCCATAATCTGCAATTAGATTGAAAATCCAAAACCTTTGCAGGGTGAAGGCTTCGGAACACCAGTGTAGCTTATATTAAAGAGCTTTATTATAAAATTTATCTAGAATTCATTTGAGAGACCCATAAATCGGTTTTAATGGAAAAGAGAGAGACGTGAAATATATATATATCCCTCCTATAACAATCATTGGGACATAGCAGTAGAATGACTTGCTTGTCTGGCAAATTACCATTGGCTTACTCTTTTACAGATATAACCATGTTACTTAAATGCTTCTGAAAGCATTACAATGCATCTTGGAAGCAGCTTAGCCCAAGCTTAGCTGATTATTGGGTAATCATCCCGTCTTTCTTCCCCCAGATGTCTATTTTCTCCGGAACAATCATTGTCCCTGAGTTATAGGCAATAGAGCTGCTATAATAGCATTCCATCCTCGGATGGGATCTCAGGGTTCCGGGCAGGAGATGAGCTGAAGAGAAATTGTCCTGTATTGTTGGATTCCTGAAATACGAGTATAATTGAGTGCTGGAAGAAATCCATTAAAACTGCCTGTAAAAATAATTTTCCTTGAATGATTATCCATGTACTATCATGGCTCACACAGTTGTAAAAAACATTTAGCGCTTTATAATCCAATCTTTGCTCCTAGGCAGAGCTGGGAACGTATTCCACTTACAAAATTTTGAAATGCCTAGAAGGGTAACAACTTTTACAAAGTGTTCCTTGTGGAAATGTCCTGGAAAGTTTCCAGGATGGCATTCCAGATGTTATAGTTTTTGCAGTTATAACCATTCTCTGTATTAAATTTCCAGATACTATATACAAGCTATGCTGATTTTGATGCGGAGACAGGCTATTTCACATTGAAAGACAATGTTACTGAATTATTCCATAGATGTGCTTTAACATGTAAACTGGGAATATCAACAAAAGAGCAGAGAACCTGAACACAAATCTCTTTCTCTGGTTGATATGATAGCCATTCAAATGGAAAGGAGGATAACTACATATAAAGGTTTGGCTATCATGGATATCATTCAAAGGCTATGTGATTTTTTTAAGTCAATGGAGCATGAGTAGCTTGGGAAATCTATATTGAGGATAGATGGATCCATATCTTGCCAATCATGTTAGTTACATATTTATTAATTGATAAATCTGCTGAATGATGATTCTTCTTCAATTTACAAATTATTTTATACAAATTCATACAAAAATATATTTTTGAGCTGAGAACTGCTTTGTAAATTTTGAAAAAACAAAACCTCCTAAACAAAACTCACATTTCCCTTATGTTAATTCAGAAAATGTCTAAAAACATGAGCAAAGGAAAACCTTGAACATTCCTGCCTCAACCTAAACGTAGGCTCATGAGAATTCACATGGGCAGAAGGACCTTTTAGTTACTCTGCAACATATACGGTTTTGGCCAATTTTTACTCAGAAATACAAAAATTGCATTTTAAAGATGTGTAGCGTTGCAACTTAATTTGTATGTTAGAACCCAGTTCCCTTATTTACTGCTGCTACTGCTTTATTGTTAAATGCTTCTGTTTCCTTCATTGAGATAGTTCAGCCAATCAGGCATTACAAAACAGAGTACAGAGTTGGAAGGAACATTGGAGATCTTCTATTCCAGCCTCCTGCTCAAGCAGGAGACCTATGCCTGTGATGGCGAACCTATGGCACGCATGCCACCTGTGGCACACGGAGCCATGTCGCCTGGCACGCCAGCTCAGCTCTCTCTAGGAGTCTCTGGAAGCTGGGGACAGCAAAAACGTTATTTCCTGTCCAACCGAAAATTGGAAAATGGGCCATTTTGGGCCTCCGGAGGGCCTCCGATGGGGTGGGGAAGGCTGTTTTCGCCCTCCCAAGATGCATAGAGAGGATCTGGAACCAGGTAAGAAAGAAAAACAGGCCTACTGGGCCATCACATGCCAGGAGTGGGGGAGGGGGGAGGGGGGGTTGCGCGAGGATGTGCAGGGCGGGGCGCATAGAATTATGGGTGTGGGCATGTGCACGAACCTCCCCCGCCCCCCTTCTTTCTGGCACGCGATGGCAAAAAGGTTAGCCATCACTGCCCTATGCCATTTCAGACAAATGGCTGTCCAATCTCTTCTTATAATATCTCCAGTGATGAAGCACCCACAATTTCTTGAGGCAAGCCATTCCACTGGTTAATTGTATAATAAATATAATAAATACATAATAAATGCAACATCACAGATCCAATCAAGTTCGGGCTATTGATGTCATCAATGAATATAAGGAGAAATACATTGCCTTCACTTTGAAGTTCTAGTGCTGCTCTAGTTGTGTCACAAGGGACATTAAACTGCACATTCTGACTTGTACTATTTCAGTACTCCCTGTTCTGAAGTGAATTGCTGGGTTACATTGGGTTCACAGCAGCTGCACAACAGCACATCTGTTGCATAATAGCACATCAGGATAAACATGTGAATGTAAATGTCATTTAGTGGAATGTTCAGGGAGCAGTTAAATTGCTCACCTGGAGAGTGAGATGGGCGATATTAAATAAATAAACATTTAAGGAGCTCCTCTCACTTGTAAACACAATGCTCTGTTAATCTCTCTAATACTCCAATAATCAAATGATGGAGGGGGGAATTAAAAAGATTTTGCTAAAATTAAAACCCAAGGTTTGGCTCAATTCTCACTCCATGCACAAACGGTACTATCTTAGTGCACACTGATTATCCAGCTATGTGGCCTTTGCAGTAATTTTAACTTTAATTTACTGAGACAAGAAATAATCAAGTTGGAAGTGTGCCCTAACAGAGAAATTGAGGAAAGGCCTGACTCTTTAGAGGGCCGTACCTGCTCTCCTATTCCTGTCCAAGCATACAACAAGCTCCCATTATGTGTTATTATTCTGTGTTATTTTTGTCTTATATTGGTTAATCACTGTAAAGAAAAACTGGAGAAAGAGAATATACCCCTTTTTTTTCCCCAAATGAAACTTGTTGAGAATTATAATCCTATTACTGAGCAGAAAGGTGGGAGATAATTTGAATAAATTTGAATGAATAAGAATCTTTTCTGGACCCTTAGGTACCCTGTAATTTCCCCCCTCAGTGATATGAAAAAGCTGCTTCATTGCAGTTCATATTAAATAAAATCTTGTTTTCTAGATTTCAGGAGCAACCATGCTTTTTTCTCTGGCTTTGAATTCAACATCAATAATGTGCTCTTTCTGGGCCAAACAGCTGTCTGAAGACACCACTGGAAATACTTTTGGCTCTAAGTTAGTTTAAGATTGGGATTGCATTAATAGCGCTTTCAAAAGTTCAAAATAGATTTTTTTTATTAAAAAAACATGAAAAATCAAAGGGTTTATCCACACAGCAGTATTAATGTGCTTTCTTCTCATTCTACTATAGCCTACCTTTACTATGGGTTGACAGTCAGGCTGGTCAGTGGTGCTGGCCCCGTAGAATATAACACAAGATACTTTTAGGGCATCAATTATGGGTTCCTTGCTGGGTTTTTTTTTTTCTTTCCACCCTGGATCACCACTAAAAGCTGTTTTCAGAGGGTAGAGGTGGCAGTCTTTCCAGCCTTTTGAGATTAACTCCTTCTCATAGGTCCACTTTATTGAGAACTTTTTTTAATTTAGAAGTTAGGTGAGGGAGAAGACTGTCCAATGGGCTTGTTGAACTAGGTTACCAGGAGCAGCAGTTCTGGTTCCCAAAGAAGAGGTTGTCAAAGAGCCAGGAAAAATCCTGATTAATGAACTCCAGAAGGCTCTTTTAAGAGCCATTCCGAGGTTTTTGAAAAAGCTGGTGGCATTTTTTGATCAGATCATTTGCAGAGTTCCATCGACAGCCGCTGACTGCATTCCATTCCAAAATTCAACTGTAGGTTAAATTAATATGACTTGTATTTGCAGAAACACTGAAAATCTTTTGAAGTTGTGTCTCAAATGACAACTGCAACTCATACATGGCAGTAAGGAAAAAATACTGTTTATTCTAGATGGCTTCCAGGTGCAATTCAAGGTGCTAGCTACCACATAAAGCTCTTCATAGACTAAACCCTGATTATTTGAGGGGCCATTTAACTCCGATAGTTGCTGATTAAATCTGGCAATGAGGGCATTTCAAGTTCCCTCAAAGAAACAATGCCTTTTGGCAAATTCCTCAGAGGCATGTATTTATTTATTTATAAATAAATAATTTATATGCCATCATCTCACCAATAAGGCTATTGGTAAGCTGCCTTATTGGTTTATTTATTTATTTAGCGTATAATACTGTGTGTGACCAGCTGTATGCTAAATAAATAAATAAACCAATAAGGCAGCTTACCAATAGCAATAGTAAATAGCAAAAAGATTAAAAACAATTAAAATTAAGAAAAGCTATCTAAGGCATGCCTTTTCTATTGTAGCAGTAACCTTGCTCTAAAGATTTGTATTATTCCCATCATCACAGAGTTCTGGATGGCACTAAAAACTTGGCTATTTTTCCAGGCCTTGGAGTAAAATGGTTGATGAGTCCCAATAACATTTTGTGCTGTTCTACTTTTTTCCCCCCCTCTCTCTGGACACCTGTCATCTGTCTTTCTATTTTATCGGTCTGGCTTTTTAAAATAAAAATCACCCAGAGTCGCTTGGAGTCAGGCATTCTTTAAATCTAGGTGAAGCAATAAACAGCATGGCTGATTCTGCATGCAAAGTGAAAGAGATGAAGAACTGGTATCCAATTTGCTACTGGCAGACTTCAAAGACACCAAAAATAAAAAGCCAAAACTGTCCAAATAAGTAAAACGAAGAGAAAAAAAAAAGCACACACAAAAAAATCCAATTTCAGTAGCTATCTGGATTTTTTAAGCACCAGCTCTTTTCATTTCACTGGGTCACCAAACCAGAAAATGTCTGGGAGGGAGAAGAGCGAAGACGTTCTTGCATGTAATTTGCCCGTTCTGAAGCACTTTCTCCAAACCATGCCAGATACCATAAAGCTCTCTGTCAGTGATTAGAAATTATTGTACAAGCCGCATATATCGGGTACACAATTGCTAATGAAATGCACACAAGATGATAAACAACTTCCTTTTCCTGCTGAAGTCCAGCTGCAACTAGGCCTTGTCTCCTTGAAGCGGTAAATCAAGCCTTTGTACTCCAGGAGGATTCAATCAGCTGCAGGTGTGGGCCCGGCAGAACCTGCCTGGGATTAGGTAGCAGCATTTGAGAGGGAGACCCCAAACAGCTCCGGCAATCTACACAGCACATGTGGACAGGCTTTGGAGAAAGCAAAGGAAAAACACTGATGAAATGTGGCACGGGACCATGGACTGTGACTTTAGGCTTCCATATCTGCAGGAAAAGGGAGCAAAGAATGGCCCTAATTTTACAGCAATCATGTCACACGGGGGAAACGTATGACACTGAAAATGGCGGCGGCTGCTGAGCCTCCATTTTAACCACTTCAGATGCATCTCTCTAGCCAAGCCATGCCAGGAATGAAGTCTTATCATCCACACGGTGGATTTGGAAAAGCAACTCGCAAGAACACAATGCGGCAGTAACAAAATCCCCTCAGGGATTTTTTGCTGCACAGTCCTTTCTTCAGATTGCAAATTTTTAGAGGGAATATTTGGGATTTTGGTCCCAAAAAATCCACACTACAGTTCCATCAAGTATTGTCATGTTATACTTTGTTGCATGAATTCTTCATATACAGCTCTTCTGTTTTTAAAAACAATGGTTTGTACACACGAAGAAGCCTTCCATGTAGGTCTAGTATTCGTATTAAAAAGTTAATATATAGGTTTTTTTAAAAACCCATATATATTTATTTTTTAAAAAAGAATCTGTTTTGCATTAGGTTATTTTGATAAGTGAAGTTAAGCATTACTTTTGACCATATATGATTTAGCTATTATGTCATTAATTCATGTACGATTCATGTACAACCTATCTGAATAATGATTGTGGTTTTCTGCTTTACAAATTCACCTACTTCACCAGAAACCAAGAGAGTCAAATTTCTCACAGCATCTGGTTTCCATTTTAGGTAATTGCTATTTTCAGGAGTTATAATCATGTGTTATTGTAAGGACCACAGTGTCAATCACTCCACTAATGGGGAAAATTCAATGCCTAAATAATACCTATGAGAACAAGAAACTGACTTAAACAGGTGCATTTAGACACTTTGGTTTAAGGGTAATGCTAGTCTATCAATTTAAACAAATCATTTTAAGGGGAATTTTTATGATTTCCATACCATTTGAAAATGCAATGTTTAATAAATGGATATTAATCTGCAGGATTATCTTATACATTGCATCAAGCAGGATCAGAAGAAAGCTTCTGGAACAAACTAGATCACAAAGGATCCTCTTAAGCTGACCTTCCAGAAATGAAACCATATCAAAAATTATGAATTTGGATTATGAAGTGTAACTGCTGCTTCTGCTCCATGTCAGTTTGCTTGAGGAGATTTAGGTCATATCTGGACTACATCCTATGCCCTTAATGTGTTTGTGTCCTGCACTGAGGGCAGTTTGACTCTAAGCTGATTTAAGAAAATCCTGTTTTCCCTGACTAAGCCTTACTACAGGTTTTGTTGCAATAGGATTTTTTTATACGTAGTTCTCGTTTAGTGAGCACAATTTGGACCGTAACTTGGTTGTTAAGTGATATCGTTGCCAAGTGAAACTGACTGTTGTTATGATTTTATTTCAGTTTTCTTTTGCTTTACAGATCTGCAAAGGTCGTAAATGCGAGGATTTGTAGCAAAGTTACTTTTTCATCACCGTTGTAAATATGAACAATCACTATTCCAGGCAGTCGCTAAATGAGAATTACCATAATGTTCTACCATAATGATTGTAGCATTTGCGTTATATAAAGAATATCCCTAGTTTGAAACTTGGTGGGTTTTAAATTATTTTTCTTTCCTATAGCTACTTATTTTTCCAGTCGGCTTTTCTTTTTTTTAACAAGTTCATCGGTGTACTATGTTTTTTTCCAGCCAGTTGCTTGGAAAAATTATGAAATGGTGCACCAACAGATTTGTTAAAAAAAAAACAACAACCAAAGACCCCCGTGAAAAAGTAGGTAGAGCAGGCAAAGAAAAATAGCTATTAAAAAATAAAATCTGATGACTCTGGGGACATTCTGCACGTAACATAAACAGCACAACCATTAGTCTAGTAAGAGAGACCTACTATTTTTATTTTTTAGTTTATTTGTTCAAAGTATGTGTCTGCCCGACTCATAAAGGCAACTTTGGGTAGCTGACATCAGGATTAAAAACAACACACAAAAATATCAGAGCAAGAATCTAAAAAGCACATCACATCTAAGAGCAGTCACATAGTGGTTAAACAAGCCCTGTAAAGACAGGGTCACTTAAAGCCTGGCTCACTGCCCAGGCTAAAAGCTAGCTCTTGGGTGCCTTGTAAAAGACCAGCAGAGGTGGGGCCATCAAGATTTAAGAGGTGCATTGTTTCACAGCAAAGGTATCATGTGTCCTAAATCCCATCAGATGACATGGTTAAATAGCAGCAGAAGCCTGCTTACCTGGTTGAATCTTATGGGCCAAAATCTGCAAATAACTGGGCCTGCGCCGTGAAGGGTTTGGTAGGTGATAACCAACACCTTGAATTGCACTTGGAAGACTACTGAGAGCCAGAGCAATTCATGTAGCATGGGGGTTATATGACTATATCTTTTTGCTCAACTGTGCTGCTCCTTACGAGTGATTTGAAAGAATAGCCTCATAGACAGTAGATTGCACTAATCCAAATGTGAGGTGACCAATGTGTGAATGATCATGAGAAGGACCTAAGAAGGGGCACAATTGATGCACAAGATGGATCTGTGCAAAAGCCCTCCTAGTCGCAGCCATCACCTCTTCTTCAGGCAACAGTCAAGAAGGTCCATGGGGACCTTCAGCTGTGTGCCAGTTCTATCTGAGGGAACATTACCCTCTCCAGAACACGTGATGGAAAGTGCCCAGATAAGGGGTATGGGGAGTGGCATTAAGCCTCACAGCTTCTTGGAAGAGCTGAGGTTAAACCTTTCCCCCCGTCCCCCCAATAGGTCCTCATAGCTTCTTGATGAGCCTTAGTCAACCTTTTTTAATCTGTAGAACCCTTGAAATAAATATCAGGTTTCAGAGAACCCTGTAACAAAAACTATTATATCTAGTTTACAATATGTTTCAAGGTGTCCTCAGGTTACAATGGCAATTTGTGACTGGGACAGCAATTGGGACTGGGAATTTCCATTGCTAAACTATGTGGTCATAAGGCACAATGTCATGTGACAGCATCACTTAACAAGATCAATTCCATCAATCCCGTTACTGTCATAACCCTAGAACCATGTAGGTCATTAAGTGAGACTTAGGAAAGCAGGCCAGTACATGAGTATTTTGGTGCCATGGGCAGGTGCAGTAGGTGCATGGGAGGTGGGATAGGGTGCTGCAAGCAGGCAATATGGAGTGTGGATTGGCAAAAAAAAAAAAAAGTCACAGGAGCAACTTCCA